ATATATATATTGTCTTTCTTTATTGTTCTGCATAACTAAAATTTGCTGTCTGAACTTTTAGAAACTTTTGAAAATTTGAAAATTTCCATAAATTATAAATAATAATGCATTATTTCTTGTCAAGCATACGAAATATTTTTCACATCCCATCATAACTTGTTTTATTGTTGAAATACCAATGATTGAAATGATTGAAGTGACTTATTGTTATGACGATTGCAGACATTTTCTGGAAATTTGTTTTATATGGTTCTGTGATTTTTTAAGTGGAAAAATTGCAAGAGGTGAAGTTGTCTATCAAGAAAAAAATAATATTCATGAGTTTATCACTTGAATTATGTAATTTACACATATAATTGTCATGTTTCTTCACTTTTCCAGTCTTTTGCGTTTTAATATGTACTTTACGATAAAGGAGTTCTATATATTGTTTGGAAGAAAAATGCAAAATTCTACAAATTGTATTTTTCAAAAAATTTCTGTCTGTCAACATAACGAAAAGGCAACACTATTGATATATACTTCTATCTTTTTGTTTAATTTTGCTGTTATTTGTATGTTTGTTTACCTTGCAAACTTATATACTTTTATATAGCAAGAATTGCATTACTGTATATTGCATATTTTGCATATATGTACTTGAATGCTATTTATTCAATAAAAGATCGCTCATATATTAGTGCCTTCTGAGTTCATTTGAGTTAGCCGAAAATATTGAATACGGTCATTTTTTCCGTTCTACTTTTCATTCATTTCTTTCACTTATTTTAAAGATGAAATCAGCCAGTCATGATGATCAACCATGTTAGTTGAGTTTGTTATTTGTCGATAAGAATGATTAAGGTTACTTTATACTTCATGTACTACACAGTTGAAAACTAATATAGATCAAGAAATTCAGCAACAGCATTTCATGCCGAATTAACAGTAAATGAGGAGCAGAAAAAATTCATATATTAGGTACGTGCTCTCATTCGTGTTGTGATTTTAATGAGAAAAGAATCGTTTTCATTTAACAGTTGTGGTCATTGAACATTACGCAAGTTTAATTAGCCTCTTGGTAGCATTACGAAAAAGTTGCAATTACAAGAATAAGAGAAGAATTGAATTGAAACTTGATGAAGGAAATTGGATTTCGCTACTTATTGATAAAAGTAGTGAATAATGCTGTTTGGTATAATTTTCTGCACCTCATTTACTGTTAATTTGGCATGAAATGCTGTTTGCTTTAATAAATACTACACAGTTGAAAACTAATATAGATCAAGAATTAGTTTTCAACTGTGTAGTACTTATTAAAAGCAAAACTGCAGAGATCAATATATTTGTCTGAAGTTTTTACCTATGCTGATCTCTTTACTCTGTAAATAAGCAGAATCGTTATAATCTTTACTTGTATGACTCAGTAAAACTGTTTTCTATTCTAACATTAATATATTTAAAAATGGCGTAATGTATTTCTCACGCATTATTCTGTTAACATTCCAGAAAGTATCAGTTTTTTTCGTGCAGTTGACAAAACAAACGAATGCGTTTTGATTTATTTCAGATGGCTTCAGATGCAAATCACATTTACATTGGTCGATTTCATCTCGAGCTGTGCATTCCCAATTGCAGTCAGTACTTCTCTCTTCCTTTGTGGCCTGTACATCGTTCATATCATCGCAATCTCTTATGCGTATGTTTCTTGTTTTCTTTTTTTTTTTGAACTGTTTGCATTTGTGAATCTTCTATCTGAATGCAGTTATGTTTTTCAGATCAAAATTCTTTCATAATACATTCGCACACAGAATTCAATTGAACGTGTAAATGATTTTTTTTCTTTAAAGAGAAATACTTTGAAAAGAAGTCCCTTTTTGAATGCCATGTTTTTGTTTCACTTTAGGAAGTATCGTTTGCATCGACCGATAATCATGAGGAACGATACAGATGGCGTGTCAATTATCAAGCCCTTAGTTGGCACTGACGAAAATTTATTTTTTAATCTTGAAAGTTTTTTTAAGCTGAAATATCACTGTGTAAGTTATTTCTGTAAATTTATCAAGTTCATGTTTATCGTAAACGCTGAATATTTAAATAAAGGAAATTTTTCTATAGTCAATGTTTTTTTAGTCAAAAATTCCAGTTTCATTTTGTTATATCTTCTCATTTAATTAGGCTGTTAGTCCTCCTACAAATTTTCAATCAAGAAGCGTTTTCATCTCTAAGATAGGAATTTTTAAATACAGTATTTTAGATTACAAGAAAAGACATAAAAAAGATTCTAAAACTCATTTTTTTTTCAGTATGAATTACTATTCTGTTTACATGATGCAAGTGATCCCTCTCAAAAAGTCGTTGAAGCTCTAATGATGAAATACCCATATATTGATGCACGCCTTTTTTGTGTTAAGTTTATTTCATTTTGCTTATTTAAAGTTTCTGTGGTATGTCATATGTTTCGTTATCCCTGTTGAAAGAAAGTTTTCTGGTACCTTTATTTATTCTTCAACGGTGTATCTATTCTTCATTTTCCTTTCTTAAATATTTTTATATTACTTTTCAAATTATATAACATTTAAAGACTTTGGATTCTGGTTTCTTTCTTAGGTGGTGGCAATGTTGGATTAAATCCAAAAATTGATAATATGTTGCCTGCGTATCGTGCCTCGAAATATCCTTTAATTTTGGTCAGCGATAGTGGAATTTATAGTAAGTTTTTATTATTTTAGATATTTAAATGAATTATAAATTTATGAATCAATAGCATTTGAAATTCAGGAATGAATTTCATTATTTTTTCTAGTGCGTGAGGACGCGCTGATGGATATGGTAAATACTATGAAGAATGATGTAGCACTAGTTACACAGATGCCTTTTTGCGCTGATAGACCAGGTTTCGGAGCCAACCTTGAGCAGGTAATAAGTGAATTTTTGTCAATGTTCGATCTTAAACTTTCTACATTATTCTTTAAATATATATCACAAGTTATATTTTTTTGAATAAATAAGAAATCTAAGAATTTAGGCTGCATGATAATTGTTGTACTAACATTTCAGATATATTTTGGTACGGCGCATGCACGTATCTACTTAGCTGGTAATTGTTTACGTTTTATTTGTTCCACGGGAATGTCATCACTAATGAGAAAATGCGCTCTGGAGGATGCTGGTGGTATGGAAAACTTCGGTGATTATCTTGCTGAGGATTACTTCTTCGGTGTTGCATTTGCTGAAAGGCATGTATTTTTCAGTAATTTTGATTTTGGGGATCGTACCACAATGCTACCAAAGTGTCTAGTATCTATATAGCAGTAGATGAGCCAAATTACGGGGCTTATTTATGAAATATTTGATCTGGCACCCCTCATCTAAAGAATAGAACACATAATGCTTTGTAGAGCAGCTTCAGTTTGCTGATAAGTTTGAATATAAACTTAAAACATTTACTCTTGTAAAGTTCATAATTAGAGTGTTAAATCATAATCCTTAAGAGGATGGAAAATTGCGATTTCTGGTCTACCTGCAATGCAAAACACAGCAAGACCCGACCCAAATACTTTTCATGAACGCATATGCAGGTTCATTTAGATTTTTTCGGAGACACCTTTTTAAATCGTAGCATAAGTGATTCTGAACATCGCGATTTTACAATATTAATTAGAGCTTATCTCTTAAAAACTTATCTCTTAAATAGTTAAATAGTTGCAGCTTTAATGTCTTTTTCGATTTTCAAAGTAAATGAACTCATCAATTATAGTTAGCTGTTAGCACTCAACGCCGTTTCTGCATTAACTTATTTCCAGGTGGATAAAATTACGTATAGCAATGTTGCCTCATACGATAATATTGGAACCTTTGCAAGATTGTTTTTTATCGGGCATACTCGGATGTTGTGCTGTTTTGATTCTTCTCCCTTCCTCACCAACTTCTGTTTTCTATTACTTTATTTTTCACCTCATTTACTGGATCTCTTGCGACTACACTTTGATCCACCTTGTTCAGGTTCGTTTTGCTCACACTCTTGATTCATGACATTATGTTTTACTGGCTCCATTATTCAGTGCATTTATAAGTTCCTTATGATAAGTCACAGCTGGTAATTTTTTGTTTCTTGTTTCATTAAGAACAACTTTTGCCACATTAAAAAGTTATATTCAAGTGAAATCACTTTTTTCTTAGGAAAAGAAAACTCTCAACTATACTTCGTGTTTCTTTTCTATTGTAACTTTTATTGGCAATTGGCAAAAGTTCAAGCGACGTTAACATGAATCTGAACAGCGTCGAGATTATTTGTGAGGGGATGGATATCCACTGCCTCAATTTCTGCTCTGTTTTCCCGTGTTTCAGAATGGACCACTGCCATTTTCTTTTGCACAGTTCCTGTTTATTTGGCTATACCGTGAAATACTGTCTTTTCCAACTTGGTTTTGTGCGCTGCTAAATCCAAATATCAAATGGCGAAAAGGCAATTTTCGGCTTCGTTGGGGTGGACGTATCGCGTCACCACCACGTTCACCCAGAAAAATGAATAGTCGTTGAGTGAAGACTTTATTCTTGAATTTTGTAATATTTCTATTCGTAATCAATTGCATTTTAATAATTATATCAATACTTTTTTCTTAGTGCTTTTCAGATTTTTTTTTTTGATCAGTTTATATTTTAACTGCTCTCATCAGTGATCAATA